ATATATTAGAAATGATTTGGAAAATTTTTCGGAAAAAAACAAAAAGGCTTCAGGAAAAAAACGGGGAAAAACCATTTCCCCCCCGAATTTTTCCGGTTTTTTTCCGGGCCTTCACATCTCTAGTTTTGCTCCCTCTGGGACTACCAGAGAAAGCAAAACACATTGTGGGTGGGATACCCTGAAGCAACATGGACAAACAAGTGACAAAAATGACAGTGTGGAAGTGGCCACTGTCGACTTTCTCGGCTCCGTTGTGCATGCAGATAAATTCCAAGGGCGATTCTTCACTTTTTAGCATCTCCAGTGATACAGATGACTGTCAGCACTTCACATATACAACATTGTCTGCAATCTGTCGGCACACCATCTCTTACGTGCGTATGCCGTTGTGTAGATAAATTTGGAGGCATGAACCAACCATGGTTCTACTAGCAGGTCATATAAGGGAGACGTGACTGCCACATTTAAGAGGGCTTGTAAGCATAAGTGTGAAAATGAAGGATGATTGGGACATTTAGAAAGGCCGCGTGAGTACCTAAAATGAATCTGTCGGGCTCAGAAATCTGGGATTTGTGATCTGGGATGTGACGTTCCATCTTTTCTCAGACTCTAAATAAGCAAGTTTATTTTCCTTGGCTGATCTTTCTGAATCTTTAAAATTGTGTCTCCTTTTACGCAGCTTCGTCTGAACAGCATCAAGAAACTATCTACTATTGCACTGGCCCTGGGGGTGGAGAGGACGCGCAGCGAGCTCTTGCCTTTCCTTACAGGTATTTAAAGCGTCTGGAACTGTCATACTAGGCTTACCAAGTGCCGGTGGGGGATCCGCATGTCTTTACAGGATCCCTGCCGCGGGGACGGCGATACACGTTGCACCGGCGTCGCCAGGATGTGACGCTACGCGTCGCTCTGGCAACGAGGCTGTTTTGAGTCCCGTTGCCAGAGCGACGCGTAACGTCACATCCTGGCGACGGCGGGTGCAACGCGTATCGCCGTCCCCGCGGCAGGCATCCTGTAAAGACATATGGATCCCCCGCTGGCACTTGGTAAGCCTATGTCATACGCTGGAGGGTAGGAGTAGAGTCTAGGGTCTGCGAATCTTCTGTACAAATCACTTTTACAGTTAGTATCTCATCCTAAAGCTCTGTTTGAATTAGTTTCACGGTCAGTGTGTCGCCCCGCATCTCTGTGCCAAAGTCTCACTTCAGACATCACATTAAACCACAGTAAAGCATTCAGTCACAATGTCCAGATTGACAAGTTGTGCTTACTGAGTGTAAGAGAACTGTCTGGGCCACGCTAGATGTGATGTTGGAGGATCTGTGAACTGATTACTTGGGGGGTTTTTTAGTGTAAACACTGGGGGGGGGGGGGATACGG